TGCCAGAGAGAGGCGTCAAGCAAAGAAAGATCGCAGCATGAAAAGGAAGGTTGCAGAGGCATTTCGCGCTGAAGAGCCTGAAATGATTGAGGCCGGCCTCTTGAATGCATGCTCATTGCCAGGAACCCCTCAATTTTGCGCCAAGTTTGAGTGGCAAGTGCAGGACTGCAGATCAAAGCCGTTTTGCGCAGTGTTTCTGTAGTGAGCTAGAGTGATCCTTTGATTTCCCTCCCGACCAAGACACGAGTGTACTTTGTTCTACGCTAGTGTTCTTAGTGTACTGTGTTCTATGTTAGGTGAGCTTCCCATGTGTCTCGCCGCTCTGGAGACTACTGTAAAGCATCGGATAGGCCTGAAAGGCTTTCCATCAGCAGGGCTCATAGATACTTCTATGCAGGAACCCACAATTCTCTCTGAGCTTCTCCCATTTACAGGATGAAGCCCAGCCAGATGTGTGGCGCCCGCTACCATACGAGATTGCTCACGCTACAGTACGATGCATCACCATGCGCGGGAAAGCATATCTCGAGGCCAAGCGGGAGTTGGCTGCGCAAAAAGAGCTTGATCCCAAGCAAAAGAAGTCAAAGACTCTAAAGGCCAAGGCAGCTCTGCAGGACCTTCGCGAGGTGACACGGTATGCCGTGATGAACCGGCGTACGGGTTGGGTTGCCACTTCGGAATGGTTGAACCACCACGTGAAGATGGAGGAGGGCAAACCATGCCCGAAGGGGAAGGGAAAACTTTGGATTGTCAGCGTGCGCATTCGAGTTGTTGGCCTCTGCATAGACATAGCTATGAGCCCAGCCGATGGAAAGGCATTGAGACCCATCAGATGCTTCAGCATCCAAGACGGGGGGACGAACGCCAAGCTCAGCTCGATCGTTTCCGGATACTCCCACTGGCTCACAGATGATGATTTGGAGAAAGAAACTCATCCGTTGAGTGTGCTGTGTTCTATGTTGGCTTGCACGCTAAGGACCCTTCATACTAGTCAATCTCATAGAACAATCACGTAGCAACAAGTACAGGTCTTTAAAGGTTTTATGTTTCCAAGGTGCACAGTAGGGCACAGAAGACCAGCCTACTGTAGTGGATGAAGGATGCAGGATCCATTGAGTGTGAAGGCAGCGACGGCAAGGACGACATGTGGGATGAAGAGAGCCTCCCCGGCGACGACGCTGGCTGGCATTGCAGGACTGGGGCCATCGCTCGTCGGTTGGAGGCCATCGCTAGTACTGTAGGTTTGGAGGCCATCGCTCGTGGCAGGACTAACATGGCACAAACTAACACGGCGCAAACAAACACAAACTGGAGGACAAGAAGAGGGATACATGATGGCACTTCAAATGGATCCTGCACCTGGGCGTGCCGCTGGCAAAGGCAAGGTGGAGAAAGTTTGGGACCCAAAGAAAAAGCGATGCTCCTCACCAATGCACGACAATGAGCCTGGTGCTTCGTCTATGCATGATGATGAACACTTTTGGCGAACTTTTCCGATGATCTGCAAAGAACAGCGGTGCAGCAAGAAAATTTGATACAATGTTCTATGTTAGGACTGTACCGTGTTGATGGTCAATACAGTATTGTTGGCGTCCAGGCGTTTTCAGAATTCACTCACAGGAACTTGCGCTGATGTCCTGACCTGGACCAACAGGGTCTCGCCCCTGTTCCATGTTAACATGCTCCATTTCTTCATGTCCACATCATATGAAAATGTGCATTTCTGTTTGCACTTTTCAACCATTCAACCACTGTTCTACGCTGTTTTCTTTATGCATGTTTCAACCATTCAACCACTGTTATGCTGTTCTATGTTAGGACTGGTCAGTACTGTTGGCGCCCAGGCATTTTCAGAATTCACTTGCAGGAACTTGCGCTGATGTCCTGACCTGGACCAAAAGGGTCTCGCCCCTGTTCCATGTTTTCATGCTCCATTGCTCCATTTCCGCATTAGTTTGCTTCGGTCAATCAAACCCAATGTGTATGTGTGGCATACAGGGGCGCAGGTTGCAGTTGACACGCGTTTGCTTATGTCCTAGTAGCGGTTGCTCCTTGTTTTCCCAAAAGCCTACTGTAAAGATTTTCTTTTTCGGTTTGACCGGTTTGACAGCTTGCCCAAACTTGAGATGGAACCACCACAAAATGGTGTGCAGGACAGCCGTGAGTTAAAGCCGCGAGCGACACATACAACAGCACAGGGAGGGGAAAAAAGAACAGCTTGGGAGGGGTGCTGAGGTTCATCTTGAGATGAATCAATTGGAGCCGGAGATTGTTCAGCCACAGGTCTATGTTAGAATAGGGCTGAGCACTGCACATGTGCTATGTTAGTTTGCAAGCTTGGGAAATCCCAGGGGTTGTTGTTGGATGCTTCGAGTCTAACATGGAACATTTCAAGATCAAACACATAGCTGCTTGTTGGCCATCAGGCATATTCTATGTTAGCATCTGCGGTTCCGCTGCAGAAACTAGCCATGCTTACTTGAGAGTGTTCTATGTTAGTCTCCAAAAACCACATAGCCTCGACCACATAGTCTCAACCGGCGCTTTCCTATTTCCCCAGGAGGTCACCGTTGCAGGTGTGCCATGTTAATGAGCACTAACTTCGAGACCCGTGTTCTATGGAAGATTTCCCCGGAGTAGTTTGTTACGGGTACACCATGCAGAACACAAACCATCACCGCCATCCCGGAGTCGTCCCAGAAAAGAATCAATCAACCAACTTATGGACCACCTGACCTGAAAAGCCAGCCATTCAAACAACGGTGGAAGCACGTGGACACAAACAAATACAAACAAACATGCAGCCAATGACTGGAGACAGCAATTAGAGAAGAACGAGGTCACGACCCGTTCGACGAATTACCAAAACATTTCATTTAAAAAAGCAAGAAAACCGACAAACCTCACTAAGGGTCCGACTGGCCATTGAGCCAATCAACAAACATCACTAAGGGTCCGACTCGGTCCGACTGAGCCAGCAATCGACCAGCAGCCAAACAACCAACCAAATGATGCGAAGGAAAAGAAGGAGCAAGGGATTCAAGCATGATTCACCAACCAATCCAGCAACCAGTCAGCCAGAGTCGACCGAAGAACAACTTGATCCAGCGCTGGAGTATATGTTCACCGATCATGTTGGGTGGACTCCGAGCATGTCGATGAACTAGCGACCAAACAGTGAGCCGACAAGGCACATCAATCATCAAACCCAATACGTACGTACAATTTTGCACACATAGACGCATTGAGCGCAATTGTCCCGCATAATTACTATTTACAGTATACTGTGCTATGGCTTGTTTTTCGCGTCGTCCGCCAGAGATCCATTGCGAAAACGGCTCTCGGGCAAATCCCCTTACGTAGATGTCGCTAAAAGCGATTGATTGCTTCGTATATGTATTTATAGCACCTGCATCCTTATAGGAAATGGGCCCAAGGCCCCCGCTGAGCTCTGGGATTAGTATTTGGACTAATTTCCAAAATTCGTACAAAAATCCTGAGGGGGTTGGCTAACCAAGAAGCCAAACAAAACCTTTATGAAAGGTTGGTTGATTAATTAGCTCGCCAGGGGGTGGATTAATTGTAAAAATGGGGGAAGCAGAATGTGGATAAACAAGTTTGAAGGATAGAAAGAACCCGACTACCTGTGGATTAATTTGTGATTTTTGATGGAGCCAGCCTTAGGAATTAAATTGAGGTGGGGTAGTGTTGTTGGTCCCGGTTTCCAGGAAACTGTTATTGTTGGTCCTGATTTCCAGGACATTGTAGTCTGGAGGGGTCAGCCGTACAGCGAGCCGGAATGCTTAAATGCGGATGAGGACGGCCGAAGAGAGAGCAATAAGGTGCGAAGTGAATCCAAGTGCCAAGGGTATGTGAGTGGTGAACCACCCTATCCGACTATTCCCAAAATTTATGATGTACATTAAAGCTAGTTCTGATGACACAACCCAAAAAGCATAAACAATGCAAACAAAATGCAAAGCTGCAAAACCAATGCTGCAAAAAATGCACAGAAATCACAACAACAAGTCACCGAGGGAGGCGTTGGAATGCAAACCAAATGCGAGAAAAAAACGCATTTGCCCACTAAACAAATGCAAACAAAAGCACAAAACATGCAACCAAAATGCAAAACAATGCAACACAAATGCGACCAAACACGTTTTGGTCTGTGCCTTTGCATGTTTTTTAGATGTTATTTGCGTTGTTGTTTTTGCATTTTTTTGTGTGTGCTTGGGAAAACGCAAAAATCGCAACCAAAACGCAAACATATCGCACATAAATTGCACAAACATCGCCAAAAAATGCACAAAAAAGGTGGTGTGTGAAATTTGGTTGTGCGTGTGCATTTGTTGTGTGTTTTGTTCGCTTTTGGTTTGCCTTATTATTTTTTCGTTTTGTTTGCTTGTTTTGGCATCCTTTTGCAATGTTGTTGTTTGTTTATATGCACTCTTTTTGACCAGCTGTTTTTTGCGTGTTTCATGCATTTTCGGGCATTTCCTGGTCATCATTTCTGAGTGTGGTTTTGCATTTATTTGTTGTTTAATAAATCCTCGAGATTTCAGAGTTAGGCTGTAAGGCACATCATAACTCAAAATCTGCAGATTAATTAGGTGGAGGCCCTCCTGATTAAATAGCTCAATTCCTAACTGATTTTTGCTTATGACCTTGTTGACACTAAAGCCCCTTTGATTAATAAGGCTCCAATTTCCAAAGCCAGACCTGCAGCAGCTCAGGATTAAATAGTTGAGGTACCCTGGATTCATAAAATTAACTAATCCAGAGTACAGGTTGATGACCTCCCTCTGAGGTAGGAGGTATTGTTTATACTATAGTATTGCTATATATGCACATACGTATACACATAAGTATCATAATTGTTTATACAATGTGGCCAATACGCCTTGGTGCAACCTGCTTTACTGTCTGTGCACCTCCTTTTTTCGAATTCTAGTTTCTCATTCTGGACATTTCCGCGCGGGAGTGCCACCTATTTGTAGGAGACCCTGGCTGCCAACTGCGCTCCACATCAGCAGTGCCGTCGCCAAAGTGTTCACTCGCCAGGGGTTCCACCCGGTTCTGTCAAAAGAGCTGTCACCCCGGGCCCCACAGACTTTACAAGATGTTGGATTTGCTATGTAACTCTCTTGGTAACTTGTTGCAATTGCATTTGGCCAGGCATGACATTTGCTTGGGGCCGGCCTGGAATTTGAGCTTCACTGGGTGGAGTGCTCAGCACTCGTGTGGATTGTTGGAGCTTTGATGAGCAATGGCCTCCAACCTAATAGCGATGGCCTCCAACATGGTGTAACTCCAATCTTCAATCTTCCTTGGATTTGCTTGTTGATGAATGATTCGAGAAGGCCAACCGCCAAACTTGGACCAAACTATCCCACCTTCATGCCAGGACGTTGACGTTTCCTCCAAGCGCAAATCAGGTATCAGTCCCCCGCTTTGCAATTGCTCGGTGCTGTGGTGACCTGTGGTTGAGTTGTTTGGATTCCGCCTTTGCAACACTTGATAGAAGTTGGTAGAGTGGTAGAGGCCTAACGGGCATATTATGATTATGTCGGTATATGCAACATGGTGTAGGTGTTGCGGGCCGCTCTCTGTGAATTTCAGCTCCAACCGCAATCCAAATGGCTCGAGCGCGGTTTCGTCGCGCCCTGTTTGAGTTTGGCAGGTGCAATCCCGTAAACTGTAAACTTTATACACATTTTGTTGTACTTTACGCACGTCAACGGTCAACGCATCAATTTGCGGAAACACCTCTCATTGTTATGAGGCCATGGAAGTTCAAATCGAGGCTTTGCCAGGATGGGAGGCTAGTGATGGGCGCTACAGTATATGGTTGCATCACACTGCTCAGATTAGCGAAGTTGACAGAGATATTGTAGTGTCTTGTGCTTCTAGGATTCTAGGGCAGGTGTGGCGGACACCTAATCATTCATGTCAGTTGATCTCGCTTGAGTTGTGGCATGCTGCATGTACATGTGCCGCCGCCGCCACGTATGCTCAAGTGACCCAAAACGGCTTCAGGTGAATTTAGGTTTTTCTCGTGTTGCGAGTGTTGTTCACGCCCGCCCCGAGTTCAGGTGCAGGCTGGGTCGAGTGGGGATACTTGGGCGGGGCGGCGCAGGCTCCCTCACCCCACGCATCGGCCTTTTCGCCGGTGCGTACGTCGTGTGTTCCTTGACGCTTGGCATTGGGAGGCCCCCATAGACGGGCCTCGTGTTCTTTTGGTGCATAGGCACCTTCTGAAGGGAGAGACCTGGAAGACCGGCCGCTGACCCTGGCGATCCTAGGAGACTTGGATAGCAGTCATGTGAGCCATCCGTTGGCTGGGTGTTGTGGTCGTCCAGTCAGCCCTGCAGTCCTCCACCTGCCGGTGAAAGCATTTGTCCATAGCCGTGAAGGGCCTCCCTCGTTGATCGCGCAATCCGTGTGGCCTTAGTCCGCCAGGCCCTGGTGTACGAGCTATGGGGTTTCCCCTGCTTGCCGTCAGCGACTCGGTCATCCACATAGTAGCCTGTCGACGCAGCGGCTGAGAGAGTTCTCTAGTCTACAATGGCTGCAGTCCTGATGCTTTCGCTTGTGTGCAGGTTGAGTCCAGGGAGCACCCTTCGCGGAAGGGGAGTCCTCCTGCTTCAAGAGTGTTTCGGCTAACCTTCGTTGAGCGGCACCAGCGTAGCCCCATGGCTCCGCTGTGTGGATCACAACCACAACCACAACCACAAACACATAACCACAAACACAACCACAAACACAACCACAGACACAACCCCAAACACAACCACAAACACACAACCACAAACACACAACCACAAACACAACCACAAACAACCACAAGCACACAACCACAAACGCAACCACAAACGCACAACCACAAACACAACCACAAACACACAACCACAAACACACAAGCGCAAACAAACACAACCACAAACACAACCACAAACACACAACCACAAGCACACAACCACAAACACATA